TCTTTCTTATTTTATTTTTACTCTCTACTTCCCTTACGAGATTCCTGAGTGTAGGAATAGAGTCTGGTTTTGTTGCGAATTATAACCTAGTGCCTAGCATAGTTCCTGGCACGTTGTTACTGCTCATTTACCTGTGCTATACTTGAATGAGAAATGAACCAGGAATTGAAATCTTTGCTCTCTATTTCTACTTCACTACTTACTAGCACTGTGAACTTGGACTTGTGTGTGTCTTACCCTCAGACCACAGATGGGGCACTTTTGTGGACTGGACTGTCAGGCACATACATAATTGTATCTGAATGGCACATTACCCACATTTGTTGGCTAATGTAGGGGTCGTAGATATTTTCACCATAATTAGAACCAAAGATTTTATTTAATTGGTGTTAGTTCCTAGTCATATGGAGTCCATAAAAGCCCAATCTGGAACCATAGCAAGGTGAATATACCAGGAAGCCAAAGTCATTGAGTATTAGCAACTAAGAAAAAGCAGAATTGTTCTACAAAAAGAAGAAACCAATAGATGGAATATGAGAAACAGAGATAGAGAGCATGTAGCCAGAGAGAGAGAATGAGAGGGAGATTCAGAGGAACAGAAAGTCTGCGATTAGTTATCTTGCAACTTTCCAATTTCCCAGCTCCTCTGATCCTTGAAATTTTCTTGTATTCTTGGAAAAACTCCCATTTTTTGCCTGAGCTAGATTGTGTGTGTGTTTGCTCATTGCAACCAACAATTCCTGATTAAGAAACTGAGTTTCTTTTTTTTTTTTCCTTTCCTTTTTGTCTTTCTTCGTGTCCGGCAACGGATCGCAACCCTCAGTGTCGCGCCCGTACTCCTTTCCTTTTTGTCTTTCTTCGTGTCCGGCAACAGATCGCAACCCTCAGTGTCGCGCCCGTACCGGACCGGGACCGGCAACGGGATCACAACCCTCAGTGTTGCGCCCGCACCTCGCTCAGCCAGTGAGCGGGAACCGGTCTGTATGTGGGATCCAAACACTCGGCAGGAGCGCCACCGCGCTCCCAAGCAGCGTACTGTAGCAGTGCGCCACCGGGCCGGCCTAAAACTGAGTTTCTTAAACTATCTGACTCTTAGTTTCTTATTTGCTAAGTGGGTTTAGTAACAGTTTTGCTGCCTATCTTATACTGCTACTAATAGAGTAAAAAGAAATAATGCATGTGAAAGCACATGCATTCATAAAATTTTTAATTGATTTGTTTATATATGTATTTAATAACCATTAATTGCATGCCTACTATGGGCCAGATATTGGACTAAGTCAGAGATTCAAAGATAAGTAAATCTTTGTAATATCTTCAAGAAGCTCTAAACATATATTACTGTGATTTGAAATTATCAGGAATATTTTGCTTTCCACCTTCTTTTTGCAGCAAATTATCTAAAACTTCTTGTGTCACTTACTATCTAACTGGTCAAGGACAAAAAATGAATTATTTCATTAACATCTATTTTGACTGACCTCTGAAACGTATTGCCATTGCCATATGAAATTCTACACATTACTTAATGTGAATAAGTGGTTGATTATTCTAAAAGATTCAATTAATCACTAATGCAGGGATCTGGTTGGAAAATTTTTTTCCAACATGAAGCACACACGGCAAATATTACCTTTATTCAGAAACAATATAAACTTAATCCTTCAGAAAGTATTATAGTCATGTTCACTTTCTGGGTGTTCAAACGCAGCACACACTTTGAGATTCAATTTCGTGCTGCTAAAATTCTACTACTAAGACCTTAGCATTCTGCATGATTTCAGTAGGCATTATGGGAAAGATTGCTCTGAAATAGACAACTAGACCTCATTCTCTTCTCTCCCTTTTACTTCCTGATACATGAGTACATATCTAGAAATATTATATACCCAGAACAAATTCTGGAAAATTCTAGTCTGTCTTGTATTGTTGTCATTCACTCTTACCGCAGCAGGGCGTCAACCAACAATAATAGTAAGATGATTACTCTTTTAATTATTTAAGCCCTTTCCTAGGCACTGGGGACAAATATTTGTATACAACAAACATTTTTCCTGCCCTTTGCCTCAAAAGACAAAGAGATAGACAGTAAACAAGTAAAACAAATAATACAGTAACAAAGTGTTAAAAGAACTATAAATGGAAACGATAAGGTACCATGTAGGAGCATTTCTGTGGGGAGGGGCTGGAGTCCAGATTAGAATGGACCAATCAGAAGGTACTTTCATAGGGAAAAAGTAACATTTAAACTGACCTGAAAAATGAGGTTAAACCAGTGTCACAGATCGTGTTCTCTGGGGAGCAGATTTTGGAATGGAGATTAGCCTCCAGAAAGTCAACATTTGTACAAAAGTAAAGAGAGTGCCAGATTGGCAGAGAGGGAAGTTGGGCTGTTATTGTCTTAATGGATGCCTCTACTATCTCCACAGAGACTTCTAAATCTGGAGTGGCCCTAATGAGTTGTCCACCGTTGGTTTGAGAAAAAGAGAAAATGAATAAGGTGGTCAAGAAAAAATGTCAGTTGGGTTTTTAGTGATATGGTGGTCATTTAGATTTTCAGAAGAGAAGTGAAAAGTGGAACTGCTGAGTAGTGTTCAGGCCCATTTGAAGTTACAGGTCATTAAATAATGTCCATATGTGTTATTTTCTGTAGTAGTGCTAACTGTGCCCATAGAAGATAAATGTTGAGAAGATACAGAGCTGGGATTTATGTTCCAAGTACATATAATAGAGGGCATAGAGGATAAGGGAGGTGAGTGTATTGGACATAGAATAATTATAACAGTGAACCATGGAATCTAAGGGTGGTGAGGAGAGAATTAAAGGCAGAAGGAGGTCAAAGAATAGAGAGAGAGCTGTCCAAAAAAGTGACTAAAAGACTCAAGGGTGAGTTCTAAGAATATAGCCATCAGTACCTGAACTGAAGAGAGAGCAAGATACTATTAGAGAGTCAAACATCTGTTTAGAAGAACGATATTCCTGCTTGCGTAGGATAATCCTGATTTATGCCTTCTGTTCAGGCATATGATTAGTAAAGATATTAATAGCATGTCCTCTTATCAATATCTTCACAATTTGGATGTTATACAAATACCCTAATAATATTTAAATTCATGGTTTTTAAGACAGTATGGATTCTGGTGTTGACAATCCACTGAATGAGATCATGGAAATGTGCTGATAATTAGGGTTGGAGCGAAGTCATTGGCAATGAGGAGGCAGGGACCTGGGGAGCCCTGATATCACCCATGTGGATGTTGAATCACCAAAAATGATGGATTGATGGGTCAGCTGCCCCTCCCTGCCTCAAAAACTTTTTAAAAAAAGAAAAGAATGATGGGTAAAAAGGAAGTTGCTTAGACTTTGGTGAATGAGGGAATTTTAAAGCTGGACAAATTTGGTTTGACTTTTTTTTCTTAAGAGAAGAATAAAAACATTTCCTGGGGCCTATCTTCCTAAAGCCTAGTCTTCAAAATAAATCTCAAGATTTCCTTTATCATGATCATTTATCACTATAATTTGGAGGTACATATTTTATATATATGGAGAGGGAGAGAGAGAATCATGTGAAAAAGATTATTTTCCCATTACCAATTGTTACTGATGGTGATTGGCTTCGTCAAATAGGATGAGATAGTTTACCACTTATCCTTTCATATATAAATAATGAAGAGGCTAACATGAAATAATGTCTTAAAGATACGGTAGATAATGCAGATCAAAAGAATGTAAAGAGGCACTTACTATTCACCAAGTATGTATAAGCTGCCCCACATTTCCCCACCCCTTTTAGTTAGGTGGAGTTTTGTGGTCTTTTCTCTGTACAACAATAATGCTTATCATTTATGAGTCAAAAAATTTAAGAGAAGGTGTGAGTTTCCTATTCATTCTTTTCTTCTGCTATGATCACCTGGAATCCACATGTCGAGATCATGACATGGAGCCAGTGATGGAAGTAACCTGGATCCCTGATTCATCACCTGGGAGCTACCCTGAGAAGCTATCCTGATACATGACAGAGTTTGCATTATCTCTGCCGTGCTGATTCAGTGAGACTTCAGTGACTCAGCATAACCTAGCCTGTTGTGATTAACATCACAAGTGAACAATATTTTTATACAAAAGTAAATTAATGCAAACAAGAAAAGTGAGTCATTATAATTCCCATAAATAGTTATATAAAATCTGTGATTTCTATGGCATATTTTAGAACATTCAAACACAAACTATAAACCATACGAAAGGAAAAGTTTCTAAAGAGTTTATGATAACAGATATCCCTAGGTCCTTAAACTCACTCCTTTTTAGAAAAGAAAGTCCTTGACACACCCTTCCTTCTAAACAAGGAGATCTGGTGAACCATACACCTAAACTAGTCCAACAAGCCTCTTCTAAATACCCGTTAAATACACACTCTGACATTTTCCTTCAAAACATTCATTATGCTACATCCTCCTTCACTTTACCAAATAAGTCTGCCTTTGTAAACAGAGAAATGTCCTGGTTTTAATCTGAAGAGATTATGGGAACAGTGATTTATTGTTCTCCTGGACCTTGTGTTCCCTGGATGAATTGTGCAATCTCAGCTTCCTAGTACCTCCCTATATCTTCATGCTTATTTGAGAAGCTGCTGCTTGGGTGAAGGCAACTGATAACAGACTCCTTATGTTTTTAAAGTCCACAAAATAATGCGTTTTTTGTTTTGTGCATGTGTGTGTGTGTGGTATTTTTTGCGCTGCTGCTTGGGTGAAGGCAACTGATAACAGACTCCTTATGTTTCTAAAGTCCACAAAATAATGCGTTTTTTGTTTTGTGCATGTGTGTGTGTGTGGTATTTTTTGCCCCAATTCTCACACGTTACTGATTTGAAGAGTGACTGCAGTGCATACGTGGAGAAGCAAGCAGCAGTGGTGGGGAAAGGGTGGGGAAAAGTGCGGGCAAGGACAATTTCGATTTGGAGACCCCGAATAGATCCCATTGGGACTTGCCAGAATCATGAATTAGAGCTGGATGTCACCTGTTCACTGAGCCCTTTGACTGCCCTTCTTAGAAATTCTGTGTAGTGGTGGCAAAGCCAGGAAAACTGAGGGGCAGAAACCGGTAAGTGACCCCTCAGTGAGGCCAGATGGCCAATCGAACAGCATCTGGAATCACTTTGCCTGCAGTTAACTGCATATTTTATCTCTGCCATGTGGTATCCTTTCTAATAAGTCTAATAAAGCTCTTGTTTTAGGGCAATAGATCTAATAAATCTCTTGTTTAGAAGGGGATTGTTACTTTGTTTTGGCAAATTATAAAGGGGTGAATACACCCACATGATTTGAAAGGGGATAAAATGTCAAATATCAGGTGGAGACATCCTAACCCCTGGGCAGCCAGGCAGTAGTATGGAGAGGAAGCCTAGGTTTGGACAGAGGCTTCTGTATGGGTCATGAATGGACTCAGTATCTAAAAGAGTTCAATAGTAAAATTGTGAATAAGGCAAATTATTTATTTAATACAATCCTTGCAACCTTCATGGGTCCATGCTATATCTTTGCTGATTTCGCTCCAGATTTTCAGCTCTTTTTTCCCCAAAACTTCAATGCCTTCAGGCTTTGGTCTCTACTGACATAAAGAAAGATAATTAAATGAGAAATTAATTAACATTAACCCATGATTACTAAATTTCTCAGTCCCAAAACTTCAATGCCTTCAGGCTTTGGTCTCTACTGACTAAAGAAAGATAATTAAATGAGAAATTAATTAACATTAACCCATGATTACTAAATTTCTCAGCTTTTTATTGAATATTTACATTTTATAAAGAACATTGTGAGGATGCAGTGGCGAGGATTAACACAATAGTTATCTACATTTAATATGCAATGTTATTTCAAGAAAGAGAGGCATTTCCAGTATCTCTCAAATGACACTGGATTGCTGATCACGTACTGTTTATGGGAATAATGTGAAACTTAGAAATGGAATCTACTGTGTATCTTTTACAGACAATATATTAAGTAACACCAATGAGAATACACATTTAATAATATTCTATCCTTCCAGAACCTAAAGCAGTGCCTGGAAAATAACAGTTATTTACTAAATGTTAGCTTAATGGCTCTACTATCTAGAAACTAGCTTTTGTCAACTGACATTAAGGTTTCGATGGGTACTATGTAGCTATCCTTGGTTCAATGATTCAGTCATAAATATTAAAGAAAGAAACACTTTCCCCATATAACAATAGACCTATCTAGAGGTTTAATAAAAATCTTAAATTCTTAACGGGAAAGCTGTTCTTATTCACCAATCTGAGCAAGACCCTCTTTTCTGATACTAGATAATGTTATTTTCATCTGTATGAACGTACACTAAAAAGGTGACTAACATCCAATGAGTACCAAATATGCTCTGTGCATTTTTCTGTCTGTAACATTTGTCATACGTTTTCATATTTAAACAAAATATTGACTAATTACTATTATAACTATATTTTATAGGTAAAGAAACAGACCCAGAAAAGTTAAGTAATGTGCTCAAATTTATCTAGACATATAGAAAGAGTTAAGATTTAGGATTCAAATTTAGTTCTTTTTAATTCTAAAGACTGGAGATTGTGTACCTACTATACTGTGGAATAAATCCTGCTTTAACACTTGATTACAAGACTAAATCTTAAATTATG